GGTGATACGGTGCACGTGTCTGATACCAATGCACCTACACAACACTCTCCCCAGCCTCCTGCTGCTCGGTTGCGAAGAGTGACGCGGCGCTCCGTACCAGTCACAAGAGCTCCTTGCGACGACCCCAAAGCCCGCCCGGGCAGGATATAAACCTTCAGGCTAACCAAAGCACACATACCAAAAACCATACATAGTCCTCCAAACATCCTGGCCATCTTCTGAGCACGCCTGCGCGGTTTTTACCCGTATATGCTGCATTTGTTGGGAGTCATAGGGAAGGACAGGCTGCCAGTCGGCGCCACGGGACCCCTCAGGCGAAAGAGATGTATAACATGTGGTACCACCGCCTATCCCAAGAGCCTAGGTAGGTACATCTAGCAAAATATCTTGCTCACTGTCCTCGTTCTTTTTTGCATCATCGGAAGCCGACCCATCATTCACAAACCAAGGTGAAGGACAAAGGAAAGAAAGACGTATCTTGCAGCTTCATATCCATCAACCACATCCCGCCGCCCATGCCACACGGACAGATTATCAATGAGCCAGGACATCAGCCTCAGGACTCACCATCCACCCAACTTTTCAAAAGCGTCACATTGCTCTGCCTGCCATACTTCATCTTCATCTCGCATCCTTTCCTATCAAGTGATCGTTGAAGTAGTGGTAGTAGCGTATGTAGAAAGTCATAAACATATAAAAAAAGCACGTCGCCCCGGGTCGTGGCCGCCACCCACACCCGGGCCCGTTTAGGTCGTTGTCGTTTCCGTCTATACGCTCTGGGTTGCTTTGCACGCGCGCATTATCCTTCCATGTGCCAGGGGGTGTTTGATATACAATACATGAAAGATGGCATTGTCCTCGGATTGCTGAAAATCATCGTTTGCGGTCTCTGTGTTTGTGCAAGGGTGGAACAGGGAGCCGAGCCAGGTCAGGATGGGGTCTGCGAACGCGCCAAGTAGAAGAGGTGGAAGGTCACAAAATAAAACAGAAACTCACGTGCTGAGCCTGCGCGACAACGTCTGCAGCTTCTTGTCATTGTCTGCCTCTCGCGTCGCCCGCTCCAGGGCCTGCGAACGCTCCTCCTCGTTCTGTCGCACAACCTCTTCGTGACTAGGAGGAAGCCTCTCGTTTTGGATGTCCACCTTGCGGGCATCCTCGAAGTTGCTGATGGCGTTCTTAATACCCTCGGCACCCAGCATGAGAGTGCCTGCCGGCAACCGACCGCCCGACACCGTCTTGAGCTCCGTGACCTTCTCCGACTCCTCGCGCAGCACCTGGAATACACGTGAGAGGCGGCCGATAGCCAGGATCTTGTTCTTGAGCGCGCGTCGCCTGAACTCGAGGGCCTCGGTATCTGGCCCGTCGGCGGGAGCCGCCGCAGGTCCGTCCTCACCGCCGGCCGTGATGGCCGGAGGCGACTGCGGGCCGGGCGACGTCGTCGACGACTCGCCCTCGCGCAGCTCCTCCTCGGAACATGTGCTAAGGATGGCGATGAGCATGTCGGTGATCTTCTCACCAACGAAGGGCAGCGACCACGTGAAGACGTCCATGAAGTTGGGCAGCCAGTAGGGGTGCGGCGTGCAGTTGAACTGGCGGATGTTCATGACGTTGTTCTCGTACTTGAGCACAGCCGCCTTGTTGTTGTACACGTCCAGGTAGTTGGGCGCAGAGAAGATGGTCATGACGCTGGGGAAACCAGTCGTGCGCGTCTTGCGGTACATGCGGTAGCCCGCGTCCTGGGCCTCGTGCGCGCGGATGATGGAGAGCAGGTTGTTCTTCTCCAGGAACGAACAGGCGGCGTGGTACGAGAAGAAGTAGGAGCAGCCCCTGACATGGTTGTGCAGGAAGAAGTCGTTGGTCTTCTCCTGGCCAAACTCCTCGAGCGGGTCTGCCCAGAGAATGTCACACATGAGGCCCTGCGTGGGGGGCTCCTTGAACCGGTCAATCTGTCGGAGCCCAAGGCTGGGCGTCAGCAGCGCTTCCAAACAACGGGGGATGATGGGGGATCCAGCAGGAGGGAGAAGAGAGCCAGCAGCAACTCACGCTCCTTAGGTCGTCCAGCGTGTGCAGCTCTGGGCTCAGGCCACCGTGGATGCAGAGGAACTGCTTGTTCATGACAGCAGCCAGGGGCAGGCTGCAGAAGGACTCCATGCAGGCGTCGTAGACGTTCTCGGAGTACTTGTGCTTGCACTCGAGCTTGAAGGTGAAGTAGTCTGTCAAGTGGCGGCACTCGTGGTTGCCGCGCAGCAGCCAGAGGGAGTTGGGGTAGTGGATCTTGAGCGACCACAGGTACAGGACGCACTCGATGCTGAAGTAGCCGCGGTCGACGTAGTCGCCCAGAAAGAGATATCTCGTCTCCTTGGGATCACCGCCGACCTCGAAGAGCTTCATCAGATCGTAGTACTGGCCGTGGACGTCACCGCACACCGTGATTGGGGCGTCCATCTCAAGCAGGTTGGGCTCGGCGCGCAGCACCTCGGTGCCCTTCTTAAGAATCCAGAGCGCCTGCTCCTCGGTCAGGCGACCCTCGCGATAGAAATGCGTCTTGAGGAAGTTGATATCGGGCTTCTCGTGGGTCTCGTCCTCGAAGAACTGCTCGTCGGTCGGCTTGAACATGGCCGGGGCCTGGACGTCTGCAAGCGGAGGGAAAAGCGGTTCGGGGTAAGCAGGCGTGACTTTGTCATTGTGATGTGTTTGCCGGTCTCGACAGTCTCCCGCCCTCGGCGGCGGTCGATCCGGACAGAAGCCCTAGCCAGCCGTCGCTGCTGAAGCGTGCGAAAAGGCGGGGGATCACGGGAAGGGCGGCCAAGCTCGAGCGCACCGGCGGAGAGCAGGAGCGAACGGCGTCCGGGGCGGTGAAAGACGTACCTTTGCAGACGCGCTCCATGGTGCTCACTTGGGTGCCATCCTCCATGGTGTGGATTGAGAAATCAATCTCGGGAAGAGGCTTCTTCTGCTGGATGGCGCGGATGGCATTGTCGACCTGGAGATTCCGGCGCTCCTCGGTCGAGTTGGGCGCACTGGCGCCCGGTTGCTCCATGGCGGGCAACGAGGCTGGGTCTAGGTATGAGGGAGAGGGGGTGAGGGTGCGGGAGGCGATGGGTTGCGCAGGAGCGAGGATTGTTGGTGTCTGGGCGAGCAAGCTGGGCTTCTGCGATTCTTAGGCTTTGGATTTTGTCGGTCTGTCGCTGGCTGGTGTTGTTTCGGCTCGGCTGCTGCAGGCGACTGGGTCTCTGTTTTTTTTTTCCTGTGGGTGCTGGCTCAATGTGCTGGTCCGGTCGTCGGGCTGTCTGGCCTTGGGCAATAGCCGCGTGGATGCAAATCGTGACAGCCGCTGGGGACGAGCGGGGGAGGGGGAATGAGAGCTCGCGTGGTCGAGGCTAGCGATGAGAGCTGAAAGGTGGAAGGGCTCTGCGGCGGCCTCGTGGTGGTGGTGGCAGCTTGGATCTCGGCCGCCGTGGGAGTGGAGGGGAATCTGGGAGGCGATAGGTTGGGACCGACCAAGGGTGCGACTTAGGAGGGGTCTGGCGGTACTTGGCGTTGGGGCTGAATTTGCGGTGACGGCTTGTACCTTTTGGATGCTTGGCGAGGGGCCCCTCCCTGCCTGCCACACGTCCCTGCCACACGGTAACTAATGTACCACCTACCAGGCTACGTTAGGGGCTGCTCGCTCCTCCTCAGGTATCACACACTAATCCATATTATATGCTAAGGACGAGCGACACATTCATCCACCCAGTCAAAGGGTGCCAGCAGGGCCAGAACTATGGTCACCTAAATCAGATGGCACCATGACGGCGCGGCTCGCCCGCGCACAGCACCAGGGGCCATCTGCTGTGAAGGGCGGCTGAGCGCAGCCCGAGACTGAACCCGCGCACGCATGCGGGGAACAGCGAGTTAGTCCCCTGGAGTCAATCCCCTGGACCCGGATTCCAGCCTAACGTTAATTGGGCAGCCAAGTTCGTGGCCTTCACATGGCAGCAAATCTTCCGCCTGCTCGGTTCGCTGTTTTGACAGCCAGCCAATCAGCCTGCCTTTCCATCTCCCTGGAACCTTTGTGCTCTCCGAACCTCGGAGTTTGGGTTCGGATTTCCCTTTGTCTCTTGCAAAGAGGAGCGGATAAGTGACGCGAACACTATGTCGCCTCCTATGACAGGCTACATTTAAGAGTGTGGCAGATGCGACGTGACCACCCGCGCTCGGCTTGGCTTGTCGGGCAAGAAACCCCCAAATGATGCATGCTACAAACCGCGGTGGCTTTTACTACCTCGTTCCACTGCAATAATATCTATAGTCGATCGACCTATCTACAGACAGCGGGGTTTCTAGTGTGAACATGGCTTTGGATACTCAGACCTCAAATCTTGATAGACCATATGATTACAGTTGTTTGCCATGAAAAGCCCCCTGCTACACCAAGAAACTTCCATCCGCCTCCTATCCGATCACAGTGTCGGAGACTTCGTCAGCAGGAAGAGCCGTGTTCCTCCAGCGCGAGATCCAATCGTCTCGGTTGACTGCAGATGTCGTTGTCAGCGGAGCCGTTCTTGTCGTCACTGGTATACAGCAGCAAGTGGAAGACAAGGTTCACGTACTGTAGCCGCCGCAAATCCTCCTAGTGCCCACAAAAGCGCTCCTGCCGTGCATGACCCTCCAGTTGTCAAAGACTACGCAGAAACACAGGGCAGGTTAGCACATATCTCCCCGGCCCTGCCCAAAACAGGAGCACCCGGATAAAGCAAACGACGCGGGAAACCTCACTCAACACCGTGCCTGGCTTGAGCTGCACCCAAAACTCATGTTCCGGTTGGGTAATAATGCTGTCCCACTTGCGGGCGGCCTCGTACCACTGGTCTGCCGAGAAGCCTCCGTCCTCGATCGGGACGACGCCGCGATCGTCGTTGTTCCACCGTATCCGGTGCAGAGTGGTGCCGTCCTCGCCGAGCTCGATGACGGGGTACCGCTTGTCCGGCGAGATGGCGATGCCCGAGTTGCCGCTCGCATGCCAGGGCAGACGGACCGTGGACAGGATCTTGAAAGCCTCGGGGTCCTGCTCGCGGAGGAGCTCGGCCGCGTGAAAGCCGTCCACGAGAAGCGACTTGCCCCCCTGCTCCAAGTCGGAGGCCCTCACGGATCCCGAAAGTACCCTCCTGACCATTCCGGTGTCGCTATCGTCACTGTTACTGACGGTGATAGTGGTGGTGGTGTCACTGTTGTGTGAGTTGCTCTCACTCATGAGCCTGCTGGCGAAGGCCTCCCAACTGTCTTGAGCAGATACAGACATGGGCGTCATAGGCTCAGGTGGGGAGGCAGAAGATGCAGCCGGCGCCTCGGCCGCCAGAGTTCTGGGCCACGGTGTTGGCCCAGTCGGCGGCTCCCAAGGCATCACGTGGGAGAGCAGGTGGAAGGCCTGGAGGCCGGCGGGGTCTGTGAAGTAGGTCGTGTCCGTGTGCGCGGGTAGTGCCAGGTTCGTGTATGCGGTATCGGCCTTTGCCAGGTCGGGAATGAAGTCGTAGAAACCGCCGTAGTGCGTCACGCGCACGAACGCAATGCGCTCCAGGAGCTTCTCCGTATCTTCGGGCGTGGCCGGCGTGCCCGGGACAAAGACGAAACCATGCCTCATCTGGTTCCGGGTGTTAGCCGCGAGGGATACTAGGGGAAGAACCAAAAAAGATATTCTGGAAGCCCGAAGTGCTTACAAGGTGGGAGGTGAGAACAGAGACACCAAAGTCATTGTTGTCCGGGTCCATGACTTTGCTGTACAGGGCCGTCGGGGGCATCCGGTCGTTCCATGTTGCCCATAGACTCTTTCTATATGCAGGAAAGAGAAGTCGCCGGTATGAGACGAGTGTCTGAGAGCTATTGCGAATAAGAGTCAAGACACTCACTTGGGAAAGTCTGCTGTTGCCGGCCGCCTATCATGGGCGAGGTAGTAGGAGATGAATTCACGGGGGTAAACGCTGCGGTGATGGTCGCTCCCTACGGCGCCGATTGGTGATCAGCATGTAGATGCAGACATTCCAGGTGGGGAATGCACCAACATGTTACGTGCAGGTCATCCTGGCGCATGTGCGCCTCGAGTGGATGAAGGCCCTGGTCCAGCTGTTGAGGGGCACGGCACGACACATGTTAGCAATACGCCCATGGCAGGGAGGCCGCAGGATACGCTCACACTGAACGTCTTGTAGTTTCGCTGTTTGGTGTCTTGGTTCACACATCGAACGCAGCGGCAGTTATCACTAGGGAGCAGCATGGTCAGTCCACCAAGCGAACCTGAGGCTTTCCCCTTTTGTTGCCGCAACTTACCGCAGCCAAAAGTGAGGCCTGTGTCGAGATATCTACATGTTAGGAAACACATATCCTGCGTATCTCGACCTCAAAGGGACCAAAGAGACCGTCAATGATAGTCGGGAGGGGCAAGCACTGACAGAACCGCCCGCTTCGGCCGAACGGACACAGGTGTCCCTGGGTTGTACCTCGAAAGGTCGACGCCCTCGTTGGTAATTTGGATGTCTCCGCCGGCTGGCATCGAGGCCTTGATGAGCCCATCGGAGACTGAGGGTGGTGGCAGTTTTGCGCGTATCGGATATGAGTTCAATCTCATGGACTTTGAGATGGTCCCAGAGAGTTTGGGAGTGTATTTGAGGTCCGCCAGGACACGTCTAATCTTGCGCAAAGCCATGGTGATGTCTGCGCACTGGCTCTGCGCAAGGTCGAGCGGGAGATATATCTAGCGCAGAGACGATCCAAGCCGTCGGGCCAATGCCTGGGTAGTCCAGTCCAGGGAATGCTGAGCAACGTTGATGGGGACAGCCTGACCCAGTCTCTGATGGCTTATGGGCCTCGGCAGTCCCCGAAAACGGCTCAGGAACTTATATAAGATGTATATGGGACGATGAATGCGGGTATGCTCGGCATTTAGCAGCTCGCACGAGACTTGTCAAAGGCTGCATTCGGGATTGGTCCCTAAACAGTTTCCAGGGTTGGGGCTTGCAGCCTGGAAGACGGTTTCTTGGTGAGTCAGCAATACTGCCCGTCCCCCTATGCGGGGCGCTTATCGTTATCTGATCCGCCAGCCCGCCAAATTTTCTCAGCGTCCGTTGCGCGCTCTCCGTCCGCGGCTCGAGACTGAAGGCGCCGGCCAAGCATCCAAATTCTGCTCGACAGGAACCCCGAAGTTCCAGTCTCTATCCTCACACCCAAAAACAACCCCTCATCCGGGAGCCAGATAGAAATACACAATGGGCCGGACAGTGCGACAAAAGAGAAAGGCGCGGTCCTCGCGACCAAAGATCCAGCAGTCGAACAAGCCCAAGAAGCAGCTGAACCCGCTGGGGAACAGCATCATTGCTCGCAACTGGCAAGTACCAGTCCCATCAGCCCTCGGGAGCCAATCACCTTCCCCCCC